GCGAGGACTCGCTCTCTCTGCACAGACCTGGCTGCTGAGGTCATGGCGTCATGGAGATGAGCATGCCACCATGACATGTGTCTGACTCCTTTATTTTACTCCCTCTCCTATCTCCTATGACTTTACTACGATCTGTATATATTATCGCCGCACAATTGCACCCACAGACCCCTCAGTTGTTAGAGGCTGGTTTAGTCTGACATTCAGTCGCAATAGAAAATGTGGAAAGCACGACGTATGAATGGAGGAGAATCCGATCATGGCCCGTTTTTCTTGATCATCGACGGGGATGCAAACACCCCTCTTGAGTTATTACGAAAATTGAACCACCAGCTCCCCGCTATCGGGGACCTATTCTCTGGCTTACGCCAGGCATTTGACACACATTTCCTTGAGTCCCACTGTCATGCCACGAGACAGCTAGCTCTAGTCCATTGGACAGACAGACAGGGGTGCTGCAATGCAGAGAACACAGATGAGCCGGTCGTTCAGTCAATTAGAACTTCAAACTGTTACTAACTCCTCTCACCCAGCATGCCGTCCTTCTTCCTGAAGTCCACTGCTCGGATTCCTGGGGACGTTGACTACCTTCATGCACAGCACCGCTCTTCTGGAAGCTTCTTGGTCACTCCACTGACTAGAGCTACTTCTCAAGGGCTTGCTCAGAGCCAGGGACCAGTGGTGGGCTCCAGGGCCCCATAATGAAAGGCCCCAGACCCCTGCCCGGGAGGAGCTCAGGGTCTGTGGCCATGGGCAGCCCAAGAGGCAGTTTATAGCACGACTTCTGGTTGCCCCACGGCTCTGCCCTCTTTTTCTTCCAGGGCACTTGGGCCCCTAGTTGAAGATGATGTTCCCAGATGATGTGTTTTGCATCCAGACGTGCCCTAACCGTGTGAGCAGAAGCATCTGAGGCGCATCTTGAGGCGCCTTGATGGTGTCGTGGTTACGTGTTGGGCTGCAAACTGCAAGGTCAGTGGGTCGAAATCACCATATTAGGTTTGCTGCAAAGATAAACTGAGGCCAGGCCAGAGAGAAGGAGAAGGAGAAATCTAGTCTGCGCTTCTGGGCAAGATTCCTGGGCTCCACCAGGGAGTGGGTGAAGTCACCCTGCTCGGGAGGGAGGGGAGAGCAGAGAGAGAGGCTGGAGCCCTGAACTTCCGGGTGAGCTCCAGGAGTCCCCAGCAGGGGACCCGAGAAGTCACCCCTATCTGTGGTGGAGAGCAAGATTGTAAGCTGGTGAGGAGGGCAAACAAGGGGGGGGGGTAGGTGTTGCAGCAGCTGCTGCAGGGGCTTTCAGCCGCTGTGTTAGTCTGGGTGGACTCCAGAAACAAATCCATGGACACACACATGTGTATAAGGAAGAGGTTTATAACAAGAGCAGTTTTACATTAAGAAAACCTCCCAGTCCAGTCCAGTCCAAGGCTGTAAGTCTGATATTAGCCCATATGTCCGATATCAATCTATAAAGTCCTCTTCAGACT